CTGGTACGTAAAGAAGTTATGTAAGTTGTTTATACCGGTCTATAAAAGGACACCTCAAAGAGTGCTCTCAGGTAGACCGGGAGGGGGAAAAGGGGAGGCGCATAGGCGCTTGAACAGCAGGTGTCATTGCCTAAACTTACAGAATGCACAGTAGCTTAACTTTGACTAAATGCTGTTAATATATGTTATATGGCAATAGGCCTGCCCAGTGTTGGTACCTTGTCAACGTGGGCCATAGTGCCCAGTGGTATAACATTGTACTGATCTCTGTTACCAACTGGTAGAGCTTCACATTTGACAATAAACCTGCTTGACTGATTTCAAACCTTGCCTGCATCTGTCGTTTTCGGGGCCTCTCAGAGACCTCCTGTGTTGACTCAAGTGCGCGAGGTCTAACACTCTAGATAAAGGGAGTACCGATTGTTATGCATGCAGCCGAAAGTTTATCACCACCGACGGAGTAGAGATCTTGTCAGGAACACGCCAGAACTACCCTGACCAGATGACGCTTACACTGACAGTTCAGACCACTGAAGGTACTGACGTACAGAACACGGAGGTACGACACAAGGTCACTGTACAAATACTGATTTGTAGCTTCCCAGTAAGGCTTGCTATGAATTATAATATGCGGTCATAGAAACATAGAATCATAGGGCTGGAAGAGACCTGAGGAGGTCTTCGAATCCAGCCCCCTGCCCAAAGCAGGACCAATCCCAGGACTAAATCATCTCAGCCAGAGCTTTGTCAAGCCAAGACTTAAAAACCTCTAGAGATGAAGATTCCACCATCTCCCTAGGTAACCCATTCTAGTGCTTCATCACCCTCCTACTGAAATAAGTCTTCCTAATATTCAACCTAGAGCACTGTAACTTGAGACCACTACTCCTTGTTCTGCCATCCACCACTAAAGAGAACAGGCTTTCTTCATCCTCTTTGGAACCTCCCTTCAGTAAGTTGAAGGCTGCTATCAAATCCCCCCCTCCCACTGCTCTTCTGCAGACTAAATAAGCCCAAATCCCTCAGTCTCTCCTCGTAGATCAAGTGCTCCAGCCCCCTAATCATTTTGGTTGCCCTCCACTGGACCCTCTCCAATGCATCCAAATCCTTTCAGGGGGGCCCAGAACTGGACACAATACTCCAAATGTGGCCTCACCAGTGCCGAATAAAGGGGAATAATCTCTTCTCTAGATCTGCTTGCAATGCTCCTCCTAATGTAACCTAATATTCCATTCACCTTCTTGGCTACAAGGGCACACTGTTGACACATATCCAGCTTCTCATGCTCTGTAATCCCAAGGTCCTTTTCTGCCAAACTGCTACTTAGCCAGTCGGCCCCCAGCCTGTAACAGTGTTTGGGATTCTTCCGTCGCAAGTGCAGGACTCCGCACTTGTCCTTGTTGAACCTCTTCAGATTTCTTTTGGCCCAAACACCTAATCTGTCAAGGTCACTCTGGACCCTATCCCTGCCCTCCAATGTATCTACCTCTCCCCCAGCCTAGTGAAGTCCCTTAACTCCAGTGAATTATTGCTCTGAGCACGTACATATGCCCACAACAAATATTGCCTTAATATTATCAAACTGATGGAGATATTCCAAGACAATATAGCTGCCAACAGTCCTTTCATAGAAGACCACCTCTATCTGCTGAATCTTAAAATCAGACAATGAGGAGAAAAAATCATTTTTTTCATTTCCACAATTTCCTATTACTCCTGATTATGAAAATTATTATATATTAATATATACACACATTTATAATAGCTGGCCCCACTCAAGAAGGACAACCTCTAATTATCCTTGCTATTTTGCCACAACATGCCTCTCTATATCCAAAGCATTTCAATTGAGTTAGACAAATATCCCTATTTTTCCTTTCCAAATTTCCCTGTTGATAAGTGTTGACTAGTTTAACTCTCAAAAAGGAAAAGACAAATATTAGGTGATGAACTTTCATTGTGTTAGATGACAATAATCAACTATATATTCAGGTTAAAAATTAACTACAGTTCCACCACTACTGATAAGCAAGTATTTAGCATATTTCTTCTAAGCATAATACCTCCATTCCTACAAGGGATATGTAGTTTCTCCATGACTGATTTGAATACATCTTGCTACCATGAGACTGCCAAGCTGCCCATGAGGCTTAAGAAAATCTTTGCATAAAGCACTCTTACGTCTAACAGAAAAAAAGAATTGTCTCAATTTATATAATCACCCAATAAAATCTACAACAAAAGAACATTAAGGGTCCGATGCAAAAGCAAAGAAATTCATAGATAAAACTGTCCTTTAGCATGGAGACACGACGGGGTGCACCTAGAAAGCAGATAAGTGGACACCCTGCTGTGTCTAGATGTTGAAGTACAATTCGAGCTGTGAATTTCCTGGCTTTTAAGATTGTGCATGACTCACAACAGTTTTTTTAATGCAATTTTTGTTGGGCTTTTTTTTTTTTTTTTAAGTTTGAATATGGTTTGGTTTACATTAAACTTAATGTACATGTAATTATCTCTCATTCTGGACACAGATGTAGCTCAGAATGCCTTGAAAACACATTTAAATAAGTTTAGGGTGTGCGGAGATGTAGCGGTTTCAGCCAAACTCAAGCATCTCACAATTAACAAAAAGGAAGGTAACATTCTGGAATCTAGGTAATTATTAGGTAGTTAATGCCAAAGAAATTATTAATTTCTAGCAGGTATATTAGTTGTACTGTGGAACTTCTTTCCTTACTATTTGGCAAGCCAAAGAAAACTTCTGTTAAGGAGTTCTTTTCTTGGGAGCTCTGCTGTGGCATCTCCAACTCCATGAAGGCCATCTTCAGTGACAGAGGAGATTACCAATGCCGCTATAAACTAATGATATGAAGATCTGGTGGAGCATGAGCTTTCTGATGTATGTGATGATAGACAGAGACACAGGACTCATACTCCATATGAATTGGAGAGATCATGCTCAAAGAAAAAATGCCTTCACAAAGCCTCATTTTAAGTAATGGACAGTTTGGTACATACTGGCTGCCTTCATTTGGAATGAGAATCCTATTTTTCATGTTATGAAAAGCCTTTTCCTCTATAAAATAGATTCATTTCAGACTCACATGTCAGCATTTCTATGGACAGATTCATGTCTCTAGGGAACAAATGCAATCTCTTCTCCAGAAATGTTTAAGCCAGACCCAACTGCTGAGGTTCCAAAGGTGCTATGGGTCTTTGCACTATGTCCTGCATGCTGTACCCATACTCTTTATCATTCATTAAATCAAGTAAGGAGGTTTGGGTCTTTTTTCTTTGAAATTTTTAATACCCTGCAGTTGAAGAGTCCTCAAATTATGTTCATCTATGTGTTCAACAATTCTCTTCTTTAATGTCGTTTATCCAATTTACCAGGTACTGAAGTTACCAGCCTGTAATTGCCAGCTCTTTAGAGCTCTTTTTAAAAGTGTGTGTCACATTGGCTATCCTCCAGTCATTTGGAACAGAAAACGATTTAAAGCATCAGTTACAAACCAGAGTTAGTAGTTAAACAATTTCACATTTCCATTCTTTCAGAACTCTTGGGTGAATATCATCTGGTCCTGGTGACATATTACTGTTTAGTGTTTTTTCCCCTCTATAAATTTATAGCCCCTTGAATATATAGGTTTCCAGTGAAAGCCATCCCAAGTGCCGAACTGCTTATGCTATTTGAAAATATTTGCAATGCAAGCTCTCTCTACAGAGAGAGACAATTTAAATAGCAGAGGAGGGTGCAAGCAATAAGTGACTGATGGGCCAAACCCAACTCAAAAATGAGAATCACAAAAGGGAAGTCAAATGATCAAGACAGGTGTGAATTCTTTTAATATAAATACCATATAGTGAGCCATTTAAGATTATCAATAATATCATCTGTTTCCTTGACATGGACTATTTTGGTAAATGTGTTCAGAGATCCCTTTAATTTTTTATAGGAAACTCTAAAAAGAGAGGGTCTTGACTTGAGGTGTAAGTGTTCAGAGATGTTCTCAAGTAAGCACATGATTCAGAAGCCTACTACAATTTTGTATATTATTTGAATAGGAAACATTTGTTTGAGGCTTACTGGGGGTAGGTTGGAACAGAGCACTTCAAATACCATACTTATATAGACTGTTTTACACTGATCGGCTACGTCTACACTGACAGCTTCTTGCGCAAGAACTCTTTTGCAGAAGAGTTCTTGTGCAAAAACTTTTCCAGAAGAGAGCGTCTACACTGGCATGTGCTTTTGCGCAAGAGAAGTGCTTTTGCAGAAGAGAATCCATGTCAGTGTAGACGGTCTCTTGTGCAAGAAAGCTCTGATGGTCATTTTAACCATAGACCTTTCTTGCGCAAGAAATTCATGTTGCCTGTCTACACTGGCCTCTCGTGCGAGAACAGTTGCGCAAAAGGGCTTATTCCTGAGCGGGCGCGTCAGAGTTCTGGTGCAAGAAGCCCTGATTTCATACATTAGAACGTCAGTTTACTTGCACAAGAACACGCAGCCAGTGTAGACAGGCAGCAAGTTTTTGCGCAAGAGCGGCTGCTTTTGCACAAGATCGCGCCAGTGTAGACACAGCCATCCAGTACAGAAGGAGGTTCTCTAAATATTACACAGCTATGTATGGCTGGAGAAGTCACAAGAGTTTCCAACAGGAAATCATTAGAACATGAAGATATTGCAACATATTTTGCTGCATCTACTCGCTGGCAGAGCAAAAACAGATTTTTTTTCTCCTACGTTCAGGACAGTATATCAGGAAACTAAACTAAAACTAAACCAAACAAATGTGTGAGCCAGTTAAACTAGTTTAGTCCTACGTGTCCATTTAGACAATGGAAATTAAGTAAGGTGCAAGGTAGACTCCCTCAAAACACATTTTACTATAAAATACTTTATGTACATAGATACATCACATTTGTTACATTCTTTACATTAAACATGATGTCAAGCATAGAGAGATTAAAAAGGGAAACACAGAAAGGAAACATACCATCATAGTAGACAATAGCGCCTACAAGTCTGTCTTTCTGTAGCATTGGAAAGAGTTCCAAGGCTCTTGACTTGCTGAGCACATAGCTGCTTTTCAGACACTGACTTCCAGCTACAAGATCATATAGTTTTATTCCCACCCAGTAGTATGGCAGCTGCCACCATCTGAGGAATAAAAAGATTTCAACTGAGAAAGGGGAAAAAACACCTCATTATATATGGCAACATTAGTTGTAATTAGCGTTAATATTGTTATGAGTTTCTATTCTGCATCCAAGTTTGCCATTTACATAGGGCTTTTTTGTCTTCGAAGTTTTACAAGCATACTTTGAGGAATCCAAACTACATCTCAGGTATTAGCCTGGTTTTCAATATGAGGAAACAAAAGCAAAGAGGCAGAATTACTTGCCCAGGCCCATAGAACTTCATCTTTGAAAACTCAGAGGATGGGTAAGGTCCCAGAAGACTAGACAGGGCAAACATACTACTTATCTTTAAAACCAAAACAAAGAGGACCAAGGGAATTATAGACCAGTAACTGGAAAGATACTAGAACAAATGAAACAAATCACTTTGTAAGCACCTAGAGGTTAAGAGGGTTACAAAGAATAGCAAGCATGGATTTTTTAAGAACAAATTATGACAAACCAAATTTCCTTCTTTGACAAAATTTATGGCCTAGTGGATAGGAGGAAGCAGGAGATGTGATGTACCTTAATGTTAGCATGTCTTTTGACATAGTCCCATGTGACAGTCTCATAAGCAAACCAGGGAAATGCAGTCGAGATTAAATTACTAGCAGATGGGTACACAACTGACTGAAACACTACATCCAAGCAGTAGTTATCAGTGATTTGCTGGCCAACTGACAGAGTTTATCTAGTGGAATCCTGTAGGGGCCATTTCTGGGTCTATTATTCTGATTATATTACTCTTCAATATTTTCACTAATGACGTGGATAATGGAGTGGAGAGCATACTTCTAAAATGTGCAGAGGACACCAAGCTGGGATGGGTTGCATGCACTTTGGAGGACAGAATTAGAATTTCAAATGACCTTCACAAATAGGAGAATTGGTCTGAAATCAACAAGATGAAATTCAATATTAAGATGCAGAAAATACTTCATTTAGAAAGGAAAAAATTAAGTGTACAGCTACAAATTGAGGAGTAACAGGTTTGGTTGTAATATTGAAGAAAAAGATTCCACGGGTACACTGGAGCACAAAACCATGAGTCAATGTGATGAAACTGCAAAAAAGTTGCTAATGTCATTCTGAGGTATATTAACTAAACTGTTCTGCTCTACTCAGCCATGATAAGGCCTCAGTTAGGGTATGTCTACACTACCCCCCTAGTTCGAACTAGGGGGGTAGTGTAGACATACCCTAACTGAGGCCTTATCATGGCTGAGTAGAGCAGAACAGTTTAGTTAATATACCTCAGAATGACATTAGCAACTTTTTTGCAGTTTCATCACATTGACTCATGGTTTTGTGCTCCAGTGTACCCGTGGAATCTTTTTCTTCAATATTACAACCAAACCTGTTACTCCTCAATTTGTAGCTGTACACTTAATTTTTTCTTCGGACTAGCAAGCCATTCCGAACTATCTGTACGCCTCGTGGAACGAGGTGTACAGATAGTTCGGACTAACAAGCCATTCCGAACTATCTAGCCCATGCCGCGTGTAGCCGTGCGGCACGGGGTTCGCACTAGCCGGCTTTTAAAAATGGCGGCGCCGGCTTTATGCTAATGAAACCCGGGAAATTCAAATCCCGGGCTTCATTAGCCAGTTCGGTATGCATACATTACCCCCCTAGTTCGAACTAGGGGGGTAGTGTAGACATACCCTTAGAGTACTGTTTTTGATTATGGGCACCATACTTTAGGAAAGATGTGGACATACTGAAGACAGTTCGGAGGAGAACAATAAAAATGATAGAAGATTTAGAAAACCTGACAAAAAAACAGGACATACCTACTCTTGAAAAAATGACTCAGGAGCAACATGAAAACAGTCTTCATCTATGTTAAGGACAATGATCAACTGTTCTCCACGTCCACTGAAGGTAGAAGTAGTAGTAACGGGCTTAATCTTCAGCAAGGGAGAATTAGGTCAGATATTAGGAAAAACATTCTAACAATGAGAGAGGTTGTGGAATTGGACAGGATGGACAAACACCTGTCAGGGATGGTCTAGGTTTACTTGTCCAGCCCTCCCTCGTGCTAAGGCCCGGACCTTGAGAACTTCTTGAGGACCCTTCTATTATTATCCTATAGTGCAGTGGTTCTCAAACTAGGGGAAGGTACAGAATGTATTCAACAGGGGTGTGAGAATCTTTAGGAAGGAAAAAAAGAACTTACTGCATGCACTGAGAGCTCAGAAACCAGGACTTTCCACACTCCAAAGCAATGTATTTATACAGACTTAACAGTTTGTTGTGGAGCCCAGTACTTACACACATGCTTTACTTTGGCAACTAGTCCTGTTGGCTTCAGTGAATCTATTCATAATACATTTGTTTTTGCAGGACTAAGGTCTTGGCTGTTTTAGAAGTGCAAGGCCAAATGAGGTTTCTGGTCTCTCCCTAAACTCAAGTGGGAAAAGCGATTTAGAGAGGAAGCAGTTGAAAGAAAAATGGATTACAGTTGTCTGTGTAGGAGAGCTGAAGGTCGTTCAGTTCAGGTCCTAACCTTATTCCTATGCCAATGCCAGGGAAAAACAACTCAACTCCTGCGATGAAAGCACTTTCCTTTGCTCTGACGGAGATGCCTCTGATCACTGCACATCTCCTCCAAATGTCACTGATGGGCCCTGGCAATGACGGGATGTAGGAGTGAATGTCACTCTATTGAGGAGGCCCTAGAAATTGGTAGGGGAGAGTAAAAGGGAAAGATAGGAAATAACAGCTGGAAGTGACTCTTCCTCCATCTCTCCCCATCCTAGCAAGATTTGGGAGGGGATAAAGTAAAATAAAAACCACTGTTCTCTTTGTCCTTCCCAAATTGAATAATTTAAAAGTTAATTGTGCAAGAGTTTTCCAAGGTAAAACTCCACTGAAAGAATTTTGAATCTGAGGAATACTGCAGGATAGCTAACTGAAATAGTGCTAGTGGACAGTGCTATACATACACTTCACGTTTCTATAATACAGCAACAAATTCTCACCTCTGAAAAGATAAAGCTTGTGACAAATTAAGAACAGCAAAGAAACAGCATTCAGTTCATTCTCAAAAGCAAGGAGGTAAGAAATTAAAGCAGAAGGAGTATCAGGGTACTTACTTATAAACAGGAAGCATTATAGGCAAAGGACCAGACAAATGAGGAGCAATTTCAAGCAAGTTGGCACGCTCATGAAGTGCTTCTTTTACCATCCTGTACTAAGAAGAAAACAAAAAAGCAAGCAATTCAGGACCTTTAACTCCTTCTTAATGGATCACAAATATTCAATGTTAAAACTGTTCAGTCTGTCGATCCATAAAACACACAGAATACCCCCTCTGTGCTAGCTTATAATTATTACATTCTTTTCTACTCTTTCAATTGCACAATGACACCGTGGTCTGAAAAATTACATTGGGAACCCCCTCAAATCAGAAATGCAAAATCATTAACTTGTGAGTGCAGAGAAAATTCCACTAGGCATTTTAGTGCTATGTCAGGTCAGTCTAATTATTATCAGCTCTAATTAAAGGACCTAAAAAATGGTACTTCATTTTACTAGAAGCTAGTGGCACTCAACAAGATAGGAAATTCTTCCCATCTTTGAAGATATCCAATAAACCACTTCTGATTGGCTCCTTAAAATGAAATGGCCTATCAGTAAATATGAGTGGCAAACAAGAAATAATTCCACTGTACAGTATTCTACCATCTTTAAGATTTTTCAGGTAGCTTTAAATCTCAAGTTTCACAGGAAGAAGGCAAGCGTGGGGTTTTCCCAAATATAGAGGATTCTCCCATCTTTCAACAGATTATGCATGTGAATACCAATATTAGAAATCTGTCAATGAATATGTACCACTCAGTTACTATATTCTCTTTCCCAGAACCCTTTTTAAACAAACAAAACAAAACACAAAATTCCTATCAGTGTACAAAAGGAAATCTCTCCCCACCACATTATGTACAGTCCATAAGATACTATTCTCAGATTCCCTGTAAATATGCTACACTAGCAAGATATGGCATTGAAAGTTTCCCAAAAAATATTCTAGCAGAATTCCTTGAACAAACTATTCTGTATGCACAGTGTCTCTGGTATTAAAACAAAAAAAAAGGTACTAAAAACCTTAAAATGAGAACACATTTAATTGGGAGGAGGAAAAAAAAAGTCTACTGGTAATTTTTGCCTAACAGCCAGCATAAATAATTACCTGCTCAAAATCCAACCTCATGATGGCCTTCTGAAGATATCTCACTCCACCATGGATCAATTTAGTGCTCCTGCTGCTGGTCCCTGATGAGAAATCATCTCTTTCTACAAGAGCTGTTTTTAGTCCTGTGTAACCAGAAAACTAAATTAACTTCTTAAATTACTCAATTTGTATGTAATTCATTAAAGATATTTCTCTAGGGTAGAGACAATCACATGAAAAATTACTCTGAACACAGATAAATTTGTATTCCAAGTGCAGTGCACTGTCTATATTGTAATGAAAAAGACTATAGTCTTTTCCTAGGGGAAAAGTCAAAAACAGAACTCTTAAAAGAGGCACATTAAAATCTGGACATATCACAGTCAAAAGACATTACAGCACATAGAACCTAAGCAGCTAGGGAGTTTTACGCAAGGTAGAAGGGCTTCTATGAATGAATTAGAACGAGGTCTGGAAGGGACCTCAAGAGATCACCTATTTCAGTCCTGAGCACTCATGGCTGAAATAAATTTTATCCCCTGACAGGGAACCTGCACTTAAAAAAATCTCCAACAAACAGAGATTCCACAGCCTACCTAGGCAATTTATCCCAGCATTTAACCACTCAGACAGTTAAGAAGGTTTTCCTAGTATCCAACCTACACTGCCCTTCCCAACTCATTGTTTCTTGTCCAATCTTCTGTGGTTAAACAGAACCATTCTCCTTCCTCCTTGCAACAACCTTTTATGTACTTGAAAATTATCATGTCCCCCAGGCCATCCAGTCATCTTTTCTCCAGACTAAACATGCCCAATGTTTTCCCATCTTGCCTCATAGGTCATGTTTTCTAGACCTTTGATCATTTTTGTTGCTCTTCTCTGGCTCTTCTCTAATTTGTCCACGTCCTTCCTGAAATCTGGCACCCAGATCTGGACACAATCCTCCAACTGAAACCTAATCAGCCCTAGAGTAGACAGTAAGAATTACTTCTTGTGTCTTGATACTACATCCCAGAATGATGTTTGCTCTGTGTGTATGCGCGCACACACGCACACTACACTGTACGCATTTGGCTTGTAGTTCATATGACCTAAACCCCTGGCCACAGTACTCCTCCCTAGGCAATCATTTCTCATTTTGTACGTGTGCAACTGACTGTTTCTTCCTAAAGTGGAGTACTATGCATTTGTCTTTACTGAATGTCAACCTATTTACAGTTAAACTCCAATTGTCTGGCATCCAGTGGTCTGGCTCTCCCGATAGTCCAGCACCAGCTGGAAGCCAGAAGCACTCTGGCCAGCTGGACAATTGGAGCTGCTCCGCGCCACTTCCCCAAGCCCACTGCTGCCACTGCTGAAACTGACCAGTGGCGAACTTGGGGAAGAGGCGCAGAGCAGCTGGGGTGCTGCTGAGTTGGTCCCACAGCGCCACCCTTTACCCCCCTGCTCGGTGCCCGACAGCACCCCAGCTGCTCTGCTCCGTGCCGCTGCTGAAACAGACGAGCAGCGGACTTGAGGAAGCTGCAGAGCAGAGCAGCTGAGGTGCTGCCGGGCGCTGAGCAGGGGGGTAAGGGGCAGCAGTTTCAACAGCGATGGACTTGGGGAAGCCATGGGGCAGAGCAGCTGGGGTGCTGCGGCTTCCCTCCGCTGCGGCGCCCAGGTGAAGGGTGGCGCTGCAGGACCAACCTGGCAGCACTCCAGCTGCTCTACCCTGCCACTTCCCCAAGTCGCCGCTGGCGCTTGCAGCCCCTGCTGCCCTGTCACTTCCCCCGCCTCTCTGCAAAACAGTGGAGGGTTAGCTCCTCGCCATGCCGTTCCTCACCGACCCCCCTCCCCCGGAGTACCTCCTGATACTCCGGTATATCCAATAATCCGGCACCCCCTGGGTCCCAAAGGTGCCAGATTATCAGAAGTTTACTGTACTTCAGAATACTTCTCCAATTTGTCCAGATCATTTTAATCATATCCTTAAAGCCCTTGCAGCCCCTCCATCCCTGGTATTGTCTAAAAATTTTATAAGTGTACTCTCTATGCCATTATCTAAATCACTGGTGAAAACATTCAATAAAATCGGACCCTGAATCAATTCCTGCAGAATCCCACTTAATATGACCTTCTAGCTTGACTGTGAATCACTGTTTTCCATCCAGTTATGCACTAACCTTGTAGTACAGGAGTGGAGAACATATGTGCAGGGTCAATCAGGGAAGTTTGATCAACGGGAGCAATAGGAGCAGTGCCTGCAGCCATAGGTGGCACACATTATGCAGAGCTGCCTGTCAGCATCGCTGCCTAGGGGCCGGACATACTGGCTGCTTCTGGGAGCAGTGCAGAGCCAAGACTGGAAGGAAGTCTGCATTAGCTATGCTGCACTAACAACCAAGCGTTGCCTCAGGTAAGTGCTGCCTGGCCAGAGCCCACACTCCTAACCCAAGTTGGAAGCCCCTCCCACACTAACTCCCTGCCCCAATTCTGAACCTGCTCCTGCAGTACAAGCACAGAGCCCCCTCCTGCAAACCAAACCCCACACCTCCTTGCCGAGCCCTCACTCCCCTTCTATACCTCAACTCCCTACAGTATCCTGCTAAGATATATGTTTTTCCTATCCTATTTTACATTTTAATACTACGCTAGTAATGCAAGATGTCTACAGGATCCAATCCATCTCATACGACCCAGCTTCAGCAAGAGTAGTGTGATAAGTAGAGGTTAACATTTATTTCTTTTATTTTTCTTATTTTCCAATATATGTATTGTGTAAATGCCTTTGCGGTTAGTTTGACAGTATTTGGGAGACCATTACTTAATTTTGATCGGAAAAAATAAGCAAAATCTACCAACTCCCACCATCTGACTTTTCATACTACAAAACGAAAGCACCAGATTTCTTGCACCTAGCCACAATGATTCCGCACTTTTTCTCTGTTCTGGGAATTGGTCCAAGAAGACATCACTTTTTTCCTATGCACAGTCATAGGCCACCCCCACATCTCTTTCAAACAGTTATAGCCACCCACAGAAATCTTAGGGTACAAGGCCCAACTTTGGGTAAGGGGTTGGACATCCAGGATATTTTGGCACCAAAAGAGAAATAGGCCCAGGGATTAGGGAAGTCGAAGCTGCTGCAGCTGTCGTTGACAGAGCCAGCTCCAGAGTGTAACCTGTTTTCTCTCAAGGTCAGAAACCAAATACTTCTCTCTATTCTATCTTTATATTTCTATCTTGCTTCTTTTATTTTCTTTGAGTTTTGATTCTAAGTATATCACATTCCATGGGCACCAAGGCCTTTCAGACAAAGGGAGGCTGGTCCTTCCACGCCCAGCCTTTGGCGAGACTAAGATCCTGTGAGTATGAAATGCTGTTAGGTAATTAGAATCTGTATACAGGCAACAACCGGGGTGAGGCACCCCCGCACTAGCTACTTCCCCCCAGCAGACTAGGGAGATGCGAAGCTAGCGCGTCCCCCTCCCCCCGCCCAGCAGACCAGGGAGAGGTGGAGCGGCTTTTCTCAGCAGACACCTCAGTTTGAGATTAAAGGACTGAGGGAAGTGAGGTGTGGGAGAATAAAACTGAGCTCTGGAGAAATGTTTGGCTAGAGTTTCCCCTACAATATGTACCAGTTCCGACTTACATACAAATTCAACTTAAGAACAAACCTACAGTCCCTATCTTGTACGTAACCCGGGGACTGCCTGTACTTAAATAAGTTTAGTTTGGTTTTGTTAATGCCATCTACAGAAGAAATTCAATTAAATCTATATGCTCAGTGCCATAGTCTTTGTGATAGTTATTCCTGTGGCAATAAAATTGATTTTGATTGCATTTCCTGATCTGAAGTGTGACTGTCAATCGTCTGCAGATCCTCACGAGGGGGAATCTTATGGTTCTACCCACTTGTAACCTGGGATAGAGAGGACAAACTTAGTATCTCTAGTCAGATTGGCGAGCCTTACCACCTAAATTCCACTATAATTCTCTCAGGCTACACTACCCCAGCCCAGAGCTCTTTCCTGCAGCCCTCATTTGTGGTCCCACCTTGAGCCTCCCCTCCCCACCGCAGGACTCTGTGTGGCCCACAAATGATATTTTCTGATAGTCAGTAGATCCTGATAAAAGAAAGGCTCCCCACCCATGTTATAGTAGCTCCATCTAGGTTGTATTTCTCTAGTTAGTTTGAGGTCAGGCAACAGTAACATTCCACCCCTCCTCCCCATCCACAAGACTTGTTACCCTATCAATAAAAAGCTATCATGCTGGCATGCTTTGTTCTTGACAAGTCCATACTGACTGTCACTTATCTTAATATCTTCTAGGTGTTGGCAAATTGACTGCTTAATTATTTCCTCCGTTATCTTTCCAGGTACTGAAGTTAAACTGACTAATCTGTAATTAATTCTGAGTTGTCTTTAGTTCCCTTTTTATAGATAGGTACTATATTTGCCACTTTTCCAGTTCTCTAGAATTACTACCATCTTCCATAACTTTTTGAATATATCATTAATTTCTCTGATCTCTCTTCTGTCAGCTCTAGGATGTATTTTATCAGACCCTAATGACTTGAAGACTTATCCAAGTAATTTGTAGCTTGCACTTTCTCTGTTTTAGCCTCTGATCTTAAGTTATTTTCACTGGCATTCACAGAACATCCAATGACTGCTGATCTTTTTGGTGAAAGCCCAGTTAGAGTCAGTAGTCACAGTACAACCACATAATATTTTTAACAACAAAAAGATGGCTCTCTAAAGAATAAAACTCTGCAAAAGCTTTGCAACATTCACAAACTAATTTGCATATCATCATGTTGACAATTGTTATTACTCATTTTATCTCTAAGGTAGAGAGATGCCCAAAGCCAAAGAATGAATTTGTAACAGCCAATATGGCACTCACAACTTCCTGGTTCTTAGAGCTTAGATCACATTTTGATTATAGTGATAGATTGTGTTAAGCTTCTTGGTACAGCCTTAAATGGAAATGTTCTCTAAAATATGATCAGAAGACTTGGGCCCTTTCCATTGAAAGTACTGGGCGCGGGGGGACAGATAGAGAGCCAGGAAGGGAAAGTAGGGAACTCAAATGCAAGTCTTCATACACTAATTCCACTAATCAGCTATTTCCTGCATTTAAAAAAGGGTCTTCTTTA